ACTGCCACGACCACCCGTTAGCGGGACATTTTGGAATATACGCGAAACCCTGGAACTATTGCAACGTACCTTTTGGTGGTCCACTATGGCCAAGGATTGCGAGAAATATGTTAAGACTTGCACCGTGTGCCAGAGGAATAAAACTACTAGAAACAAGGCCTGGGGCCTATTACGCCCACTACCAATACCTGACAGACCTTGGAGCATGATCTCCGTTGACTTTATTGTAGAGCTTCCACCCTCCCAGGAACACACAGCAATCTTTGTGATTGTAGACCGGTTATCCAAGATGGCCCATTTTGTACCCTTAAAGGACACACCGACAGCCCATGAGACCGCACAGATTTTTATCAGGGAGGTGGTGAGACTCCACGGAATCCCCAAGGATATTGTGTCAGATAGGGGGGTTCAGTTTACGTCTAGATTTTGGAAGGCTCTATGTGAGACGCTTGGAATTAAACTGTCATTGTCCTCTGCATATCACCCACAAACAAACGGCCAGACAGAACGAATGAATCAGACACTTGAGCAGTACCTCAGATGCTACACTACCTTCCTCCAAGACGACTGGTTGACCCTCCTGCCACTTTGCTTATAATAACGCGAGTCATTCTGCTACAGGCCAGGCTCTTTTTTTTCGCAAATTATGGGTTCCATCCCACTTTTTTACCGGATTTGATTCTGGAAGTCACGGTCCCGGCCACGCGGGACATGCTGGGCTTTTTATCCTCTAATAGCAAGTTGCTCTAAGAGGCGATGGCAAAAGCCCAGGAGAGCAATAAGAGGGCTTTTGATAAGAAAAGAAGAGGGGAGTTGAGTTTACGGCCGGAGGACCAGGTTTGGTTGTCCACCACAAATTTAAAGATGTCCTGCCCATCAAAGAAATTGGCTCCCAAATTCCTGGGCCTGTTCCGGGTCAAACGCAGGATCAATGAGGTAGCATACGAGCTTGCACTGCCCGAATCTATGAAGATTCATCCGGTCTTCCACATGTCTCTATTGAAACCAGCAACTCCAGACCCCTTCCCGGATCTAAAGGTCTAAACCACCGGAGGCAGTAAACGTGGATGGGGAGGAGGAATTTGAAGTTGAAGCTATCCTGGATTGTAGGAAAAGGGGAGGCCAAACTCAGTTTCTGGTTAAATGGAAGGGATATGGGGAGGAGGAAAATTCGGGGGAGCCGGCCCAAAATGTGCGCACCCCAAGACTTGTGCAGAAATTTTTTCGGAACCAGGCATTAGGAAGGGGTCGGTTGGGCATCCGGAGGCTGCCCGTAGGAGGGGGGGCAATGTTTAGGGATCCCGGCCGCTCAGCATCGCGTGCATGCGCAGATCGCCGATTCTTCCTGGCCGGCGAACACAGAGATCGCGGCGGCGGCCGCGCATGCGCACTAGCAATCGTGGCCGCACCAATGGAAACACAGGGTGCCCTATTTAAATCTGCCCTGTACATCTCCAAATTGCCGCAAGGTCTTGTTCCTGTTCCCGTGTTCCTGCTAGTACGTTTCCTTGTTGCCAAACTCTGCCTGTTCTGATTTATAACAATGAAAACCAGCGCAAACCCACATGATCTATTACATTACTCAGTTTAAAAAAACATTAATGTGCTAATAAAAATATATATATAATAAATTATATATAAAATATATTGATATAAAAAACATATATAAAAATTTTAAAATTATAAGTCCAGTGACAAAAAAGCAAAGTGACAAAAAATCAAAAAAAAAAAAAAAAAAAAAAAAAAAAAAAAAAAAACCCAGAAAAATATATATAATAAATATAATTACAGTCCCGTGACAAAATTAAATCAAATTAAATTGTAATATATTTTCCATTTGATTCTTCCGTGTTACTGATCCCTTCACCATCCACCAGTGCAGAAATCAACACTGGGCGTTATCAAGGGTGGGGCGAAACGCGTTGACGCACTTCCGGTTGCCTGGTCCGTCGTCTGACGTCATTTCCGGTGAGTGGAGCGCACGCCGAGCGGTGCGTTCCAAGGGGCATCATCTTAACCTAAGTAGAAGAGTTTGTAGCTGAGGTCTGCCATCCTGCTGCACACTAAACTGTGAGGTCCTTGTATAATCGGTGTACATGAAAAGTGGACCATTTCTGAAGAGAATCGCTGGTGTTTTGAATAAAAAGTGGGCTATATCCCGCAAAAGAATGTGAGTGGTCTGGAGAGATTAATTTGAGGAGAAGTTACTGCGGTATCACGCTATGGTCTTTTCTTCTTCCTGATTTTCCTTTGGGGGATTCGGTGAGAGGAGTAAGCAGAAGAGGTACCTAGACATAATAAGAGGAAAGAGCACTTGGAGGTCCCAGACAAAGTAAAGGGGGTCCAGGAGTCCTTAACAATCCTGAAAGGCGTGTGACTCACCATTATCTGGTGAGTGCGGTTAATGTTGATTTCTGCACTGGTGGATGGTGAAGGGATCAGTAACACGGAAGAATCAAATGGAAAAAAAATATATTACAATTTAATTTGATTTAATTTTGTCACGGGACTGTAATTATATTTATATATATATATTCTGGGTTTTTTTTTTTTTTTTTTTTTTTTTTTTGCTTTTTTGTCACTTTGCTTTTTTGTCACTGGACTTATAATTTTAAAATTTTTATAATGTTTTTATATCAATATATTTTATATATAATTTATTATATATATCTTTATTAGCACATTAATGTTTTTTTAAACTGAGTTTAAACTAAACTAATTGATCATGTGGGTTTGCGCTGGTTTTCATTGTTAAAAGTTTTTGGTCTTTTGTACCTGTGCACAGCAGCATCTCACGGGGATTTGTATGGTAAATAGGAAGTCCTGAGCGCTGAGGTTTTTTGTTTTTTTACTGTTCTGATTTATGCTGACCCTCTCCTGCTCTGATCCCGGCTCGTCCCTGACTATTCCTTGCCTGTCGTTACTACTATTGGACCCTCTGTTACTGAACCCGGCGTGTGACCTGACTACTCTTTTGTCTGCTGCTTAGTACCGCATCTGCCCCCACTGTTACCGACCCGGCTAGTCTGACCACGCTCACTCCGGCAGTCATCCATCCATCCCGCTCGGACCTGTCATCCCCTTTACAGCAGGCTCATCCAGGGCACATACCCTCAGCGGAACCCTCTACCATAGTTGGGTGCACCCAGGGGTCGCGACCTGGTTCCAGTCAGGCATCAAGTCCATCCCCACCATCAGGGGCTCTGGTGAAGAGGCAGACTGGGACTTAGACTCCGTGCCCTGGGGCACCCCATTCTGTGGACCACTAGAGATCCCGTGGGCGGAGCCTGACAGCTGTCAAGACACCAGAGACAAAATTGTGGACCTCCACAAGGCTGGAAAGGGCTATGGGGCAATTGCCAAGCAGCTTGGTGAAAATAGATCAACTGTTGGAGCAATTGTTAGAAAATGGAAGAGGCTAAAGACGACTGTCAGTCTCCCTCGGACTGGCGCTCCATGCAAGATCTCACCTCGTGGGGTATCACTGATGATAAGAAAGATGAGGAATCAGCCCAGAACTACAAGGGAGGAGCTGGTCAATGACATGAAGAGAGCTGGGACCACAGTTTCAAAGGTCACTGTCGGTAGAACACTACGCCGTTATGGTTTCAAATTATGCATTGCATGGAAGGTTCCCCTGCTCAAGTCATCACATGTCCAGGCCCGTCTTAAGTTTGCCAATGACCATCTGGATGATCCGGAGGAGGCATGGGAAAAAGTCATGTGATCAGATGAGATGAGATGTGATGAGACCAAAGTAGAACTTTTTGGTCTAAACTTCACTCGTCGTGTTTGGAGGAAAAAGAAGGATGAGTTGCACCCCAAGAACACCATCCTACTGTGAAGCATGGGGGTGGTAACATTATGCTTTGGGGGTGCTTTTCTGTGAAGGGGACAGGACGACTGCACTGTATTAAGGAGAGGATGAATGGGGCCATTTATTGTGAGATTTTGAGCAACAACCTCCTTCCCTCAGTCAGAGTGTCAGGGAATGGGAAGATCGCTGCGGCGATCGAATCCGCACATGCGTAGAGTCCTGACAAAACGTACAGGAAGGCGGGCACTAGGACCCAGGCGTGCCTGTCACCAATGACTGCGCCGGGCAAGCATTAGGACCCAGGTACGCCTGTCAGGAGTCGGGCGGGCTATTTAAACCCAGCTCTTGCAATGCTCAAGTGCCGTATGGTCTTTCCTGTGTTCCTGTGAGTTTACTTTGCTGCTGACCCTGCCTGATCCTGATCTGCTGACTTCTCCTGCTCTGACCCCTGGCTTGCCTGACCATTCACCTGCCTGCTCCTGCACTTTTGATCTCCTGTTGCCAAACCTGGACCGTGACCCGTTTATTCTTCTGCCTGCTGTTTTGTACCGACCTGCTCCGCTGTTACCGACCCGGCCTGTCTGACCTCGCTTACTCTACCTCCTCACATCAGACTCTCACCTGCTACGTACCACCGACAGGTGCCTCTACCACAGCTGGTTGCACCCAGGGGGTCGCGACCTGGTCTCGGCTTGCTCCAAGTCCATCCCCACCATCAGGGGCTCTGGTTGGCCAATATTTTGTGTTTTTGTGCATTAAAAGTAAAAAAATTTGCTGCATGAGTACTATGTGACATAAAATATTGCAGCACCCACCATTTTATTCACTAGGGTGTTTGCTAGAGATGAGCGAATTATTCAAAAATTTGGTTCGGCTGATTCGCCGAATTCGCCGATTAAATTCGCTTCGAGCCGAATATATTCGTTGCGAATTTAACTTATAAAAAGGGTGTTTCTATGCTTCAGAGAGCCTTTATATTAGTGCAGAACACTGTACCTTTAATTTAAATGCCCTTGAAGTCTGCTGGGGAAGAGAAATAATACTGTCAGTCAGTATGACATGCAGATGAGTGCCTTCGATCTTAGAATCACCGCACACTTCACTCATTTGGGCAGTCACGGGGCCAAAACCAGAGTGTGGAGCCACAGTGTGGCGGTGGAGGCAGCAGCAATGGAAGGCCATACAGCACCCTATCACAAAATGGAACCCACCAACAGTGTAAGGAGACCTGAAAGTGGCACATGGCAGAGTCTGGCGATGAAGTCAGCAGCAATGGGAGGCCGTACAGGGACCCATGACACACTCTGGACCTGGCAGCAGCAAGAGGAGGCGGTATAGGGGCCCATGGCAGAGTGGCGAAGCGTAAGCAGCTTAAATTGAAGGCCATACAGAGGCCTATGTTAAAAAGTCCCCCCAGCAGCAGTGTGGGGAGACGACTATCAAGAGTCCAATGGCAGAGTGGCGGAGCAGAAGCAGCTTCAATTGAAGGCCATACACAGGCCTAGGTTAAAAAGTCCCCCCAGCAGCAGCGTGGGGAGACGACTATCAAGAGTCCAATGGCAGAGTGGCGGAGCGGAAGCAGCTTCAATTGAAGGCCATACACAGGCCTAGGTTAAAAAGTCCCCCCAGCAGCAGTGTGGGGAGACGACTATCAAGAGTCCAATGGCTGAGTGGCGATCCGGGAAGTCAGCGTTGTGATTGCAGATGCAATGGAGAAATTCTACGAAGTAATGCCGTGGGTGCGAAGAAGATCATATACCGTCGTACTTCCATCCATAAGATGGAACAACCTGCGAACCGGGAGCTTTATTGCCCTGACCCGCTGAGCAGCTTCTGGGATACCCAAGAGGCCCATGGCAGAGTGGCGGAGCGTAAGCAGCTTCAATTAAAGGCCATACAGAGGCCTATGTTAAAAAGTCCCCCCAGCAGCAGCGTGGGGAGACGACTATCAAGAGTCCAATGGCAGAGTGGCAGAGCGGAAGCAGCTTCAATTGAAGGCCATACACAGGCCTAGGTTAAAAAGTCCCCCAGCAGCAGTGTGGGGAGACGACTATCAAGAGTCCAATGGCTGAGTGGCGATCCGGGAAGTCAGCGTTGTG